GGTTGTGAAGAGAGAAATGTGAGGGGAATATATGAAGAAATTGATTTTGAGCCTTTACCCTTTCTTTCATAGTAGCCTAACCCCAAGCCACATTACAAGCCTATATAAAGTCCTTATTTGAGGGTTTGAAACTTTCTTTGTCAAGGAACATTAAACAAACAAACAAAAAATCCTTTCTCTAGTGAGTCCAAGTTGTTTAGCTTGATGGTTTATGATCGGTCTTCTAAACATTGAAGGTTAGTTCATGGGAAGGAGATAGATTGAATGCGTCCACCTTGGCATGGAAGTAAACATTGTCTCATATGCTAAAGACTGGATTGGTGGAGTTGCAAAGAAATAAATTCTTGAAGCAAATGCTTTATAGCCTGAATGCCTTCTAGCTTTGTTAAAATTGTTGCATCAAAAGTTGTGCAACTCAAAAATCATGTTTATCTCTTTCTATCCATACATATTATCCATGCTCTGGCCTTCTTTTCCTTGTTTAGATTGGGATGTTGATTAGTTATGATGCTTTATTTCAGTTAATATAATTGTTGAAATCTCTACAAAAAAAAAAAAAAAAATGAAAGTTGCAAAGAAAAGCAAAAGGTTGATCCAATGGTCATGGTACTTATCCTCTCTTGCAATGATTTGAGAATTTTCCCCAGTGAACTAGAGATGCTCTCAAGTCATTGAACTTTATGCAAAACATGTCATCGAGCCTATCAATGAATGCACAACACAGAGGACACTTGACTCTTGCTGAGTAAGGACATCCATCATATGTTCAGGGAAGTTTCTTATCCTCTCTTCATTTTACATTACCTTTCATGTGAAAGTTGTCTCACTTGCATCTGTTTCATCATTACAGATCTTTCAAACATCACCTTCATTCAGCCCTTAGCCACATTCACCCTCATTCGCCTCTATTGCTACACAATTTGCTCGGTCTTTCGACCATGGTAGCTCAACTTGCTTGGTCATTCGACCGTCACAAGCACAAGCACAAGCACCAGCACAAGCACAAGCACAAGCACAAGCACAAACACAAACTTGCTCGGTCCTTTGACCGTTGCAACTCAATTTGCTCGGTTATAAAACCGTTTCTTGCTCAACTAGCTTGGTTATATAACCATTGCTATTCAACCGACTCGGTTGTTTAACCGTAGCCACTCCAGTTGCTCGGTCGTTTGACCGTAGCTATTCCATGTGTTCGGTTATTTAACCATTGTGGTTATATAATCGTCTACAATCACCTTTTACAATCACTGTTTACAATCACCACTTACAATCACCTTTTACAATCACCTCTAACCGTTCCTTGCTCAACTAGCTTGGTTATATAACCATTGCTATTCAACCGGCTCGGTTGTTTAACCGTAGCCACTCCAGTTGCTCGGTCGTTTGATCGTAGCTATTCCATGTGTTCGGTTATTTAACCATTGTGGTTATATAATCGTCTACAATCACCTCTTACAATCACCTCTTACAATCACTTTTTACAATCACCACTTACAATCACCTTTTACAATCACCTCTTACAATCACTTTTACAATCATCATTTACAATCACCTTTTTACAATCACCTTTTTACAATCACTGTCTACAATCTCCTTTTACAATCACCATCACCTTTTGACAATCACTTCTTACAATCACTTTTACAATCACTTTTACAATCACCTTTTTACAATCACTTTTTTACAATCACTGTTTTCAACCACCATTTATAATCACCGTTTACCATTTACCATTACTTTGCTTGTTTGGTCATTCGACCGTTGCGGTTATAAAACTGTTTTCACTTTCCTTGTTCGGTCATTTGACCGTTGTGGTTATAAAACCATTTTTACTTGGCTTGTTCGGTCATTCGACCGTTGCGGTTATAAAACCATTTTTACTTTCCTTGTTCGGTCATTTGACCGTTGTGGTTATAAAACCATTTTTACTT